TATGTTACTTCGACATTACTTTACTCAGACACTACGCTACTCCGACAATACAGACGAGATGCTTCTTAAAAAATCTTTGTACTCAGATAAGAAAAATCATCATTACAAACCCACGTACGAAATGGTTTCGTATATCGGTCAATATAACAAAAAAAGGACAACATTATATAATCGGAAATTTATTTTATTAAAATACAGAGTGTTTTTTAAAATGGGATAGTATGAGGAAATGTAAAACCATAGAAGATACAAAGAAACTATTTTGATCAACTTCTGCTGTCCCGATTTTTTCGTCCCATACAATGAAATGATCCCTTCATGACTCTGAGTCGATCAGCACTAAACAAAATTTTATTAATATTTTTAATTTATTTTTTAATTAAGTTCCTAAGACTGTTTTCTTGTATCTTCTATGGTTACGGATTTCACCATATTATTCCATTAAAAAAACGCTCTGTATAAAGTGTAACAAAAAAACTTAGAATAATAACGCATACAAACCTAGCCCGCACACGCTAAGTGAGGCAAATTGTAGGACGCCGTATGGGCCTACATGAGCGAGCGAGCAGTCAGTGCTCAAGGTCAAGTTGCACCGCGAACAGCTCAAAGATTTTTGCTAAAAATGACGAAATGTGCGGTAATTGGGTTTAAAAATAGATCAGACAAACATAAAATAGACACTAACATCACATTCCACAAGGAAGTAACGCGATTCAACTTGTATTTTTATGTAAATATTCAATAAAACAGAAAATTAATTTCGTTGCAACAAGATACGAAAATGTTGCAAAGTAACGGGTTTTTTATCCCCATTTTGCTATTCTGTTTCAAAATAATTATATTACGTACTTTTTTGAGAACAGGCAATATCGCGACGGTTGCAAAATTTCTACAAATGTACACCGCTGCAACAACATTGTAGGGAATTTACGTTAGCTATTTTTACGAAATATATTTAGTATTTGTCTTCATTAGTTTCATGTGAAAAATCATTATTCTTGTTCATCATACACTCATTTAAAAAAAATGTCTTTGCCAGACTCAAGAGTTCGTAACTAAAATTATTTCAGGGAACTAACACTGACTTAAAAGTCAACGTCAGTTCTCCAAAATAGTGTATAAATAACTTTCAGGTTCAGGTTCTTTATTGTTATCGTGTACTTTTCATGTAAACATACCCACAGATAATATAAGGCTATTTATATATTCAAATTCGAGAGTCGCACTTAAACTCGCTTGTAGGTTTTTCAAAAATGTATTTTTGGTAAACCGTAAGGAAATGGCATGTATATCTGAACACAAGATAGCGGGCAAGACTTCTAATTCTTCTTCTTCTAATTCTTCGCCATCTTGGATTTAGAAATATGTGCTACATTCGGAATGAGCAGCCCAATACCTACAATACCTTGAAAACGACACCCAACTTGCTATTATTCGAAAAATCGTGCCCGCCATCTTGGATTTACAAATTAGTGCCATATTCTTAATGAGCACCCCCAAATACCTCGAAAACGACACCCAACTTGCTATTATTTGAAAAGTCATGTCCGCCATCTTGAATTTAGAAAAAAGTGCCATATTCGTGATGAGCACCTCGAATACCTCGAAAACTATTCCCATTTTGCATTTATTTGAAAAGACGTGTACGCCATCTTGGATTTAGAAATGAGAAAAGTCGTGTCCGCCTTCGTGTATTCAGATATAAATGCCATTTCCATAAGGATTACCAAAAATAAATTTTTGAAAATTCCTGTCACTTGACGTTGTCGATCAACAGTAACGTTCGACAAAATGGAGCATATCTGTAGGCACCTGATCGAGATTGTCGATCGACAAAATCGAGCAAATCTGTAGGCACCTTTAACTTAATGATGAGTTAAGCAAGATACAATTTCCCCACTTTTGAGAGAAATGTTATTCCATGGCATCATTATTTCTATATTTGTGTGCGTGCCGACGAGCGTAAATACAAGTTGCTTACGCCTACATGAATTTGATTTTTGCCTCACTTGTGACAGTTCGTTTGATATGAAACTATCATTCCATGCGTTATTATTCTAAGCAAAAAAAATATTAAAATAAAATATACTATTTCAAAATCCATTATACAAAATTCTGCTTCGAAAAGCAGTTTCAAATTTTCTTCCGTCGCGAAAATAATAATGTATGATTTTGCTGTTTACTGTAATTAGGTTTTTGTAAACAAAAAATGGTATTCGTTCAAATTCGAATCGACGCAATGGGGTTGGTTATAATATGGTAAAATTTTATATTAATATACTACATTATTACTGATAACTTTTGAATTTTGAGGGTAGGTTTAAATTGTTTTCACAAAAAAGTCGTCTTGACTTTATGGTTCCTAAGATAGTTTCCTTGTATCTTCTTCTATGGTTTCGTTTTTCCCCATGCTGTCCCATTTAAAAAAAAACACTCTGTATTTTAATAAAATAAATTTCCGATTATATAATATTGTCCTTTTTTTGTTATATTGATCAATAGAAGAAATCATTTCCTGCGTGGGTTTGTAATAATGATTTTTCTTATCTGAGTACAAAGATTTTTTTTTAGAAACATCTCGTCTGTGTTGTCGAAGCAGCGCAGTATCTGAGTAACATCATGTCGATGTAACATATTGTCCGAGTAGCGTAGTGTCTGAGTAAAGTAATGTCGAAGTAACATATTGTCGGAATAGCGTAATGTCTGAGTAAAATCATGTCGATGTGATATGTTGTCGGAGCAGCGTGTGTCGAAGTTCAATTTTACAGTCGATTTAAAGCACTAGAAATCATACTCAAGTTCTGACTTGAGGATTCAGTAGAGTTCTGGAATACGACCCTAAGGAATGATCTAGTGAACATTCTAATAAATTAAGTATCTTTTTTTTAAGGTTTTCAGGATTGCTGCACATTGGAAATGAAACTATATTGTTTTTTTAGCTGTGTCAGTCAGACTGAAAAAAAAAACAATTCGATGTCTTAATTTCTCAAACTCGTACCTATCGTAAAGAGTGATTATTCAGGAGATGGCAAAACTTTCTATTTATTTTAAATTTCTTATCAAGGGTGTTAATTTGGATGCATTACTTTAAGAATAGATAAAAGTCAGTGTCAATATGAAGCAAATGTGATGTGAAATAAGCCTGCAAAATGTGTATAATATGATGATAATATGCAATGCATTTCTGTAACTTTGTGCTTTAAGATACCAGTTTGAGAAAGTAAGGCGACGATATCCATGAGATCTGTAAAGAGCTTGAAACATTGGTTTTTTGTTTGTTTGTTAAATCTGCAACAAGTGCATTTCAAATTTGGTTCTCGTCTGTTTGAAAAAACAAACAAACATGATATAGCCAAAAGAATAAGTTTCATTTCCAATAGATATTACTTTACCTTGGACAGGCGACATGTTGGCATTGTGTGCATCAAACATTTGTAGGTTCCCAAAAGCCTGTTCTACAGACTCCAATTCAAAGGAATTGCTCTCTTCTTCTTCATCCGAATTCCTGGAAAGGCATGTCTAATTACTGTGTTTAAATAAATACAATTGTAGTATAATAGTGGCTGCATACAATGCAGCATTATTTAGATAATACACATAAATATAAAAAATAATATAAGGGGTGAATGAAAGGAGCCTCCCCGCTTGTTTTTTTTCTGCATATCTAGCGCACACTGGGCAACAATCGGCGATTACCTTACGCCGCGTCGATTGGCAAAACTGTAAAACCTTTCACCACGATGGCAAGCATTATAGTCGTCCATCGATATAACAAGCAGAAGTATAATAATAAAATTTTGAGAGAAAATAGGAGGTGTAATAATATGGGTATAAAATAAATATTTAATAAAGTATACAATCAGATCAAAAGTTAAATTGTTCTTCAAAAAGACATTTAGTTAAGAAACAATTTTTTCTATTTAAATCAAAATTAAAGCTTACGGGTAAAGCAAGATAGGTGATTTTTGTGTTAGAATAAAATTATTATATTCAAACATGAAACTCATGACGTTGAGTTGTATAGTAATTATGATGCATTTTACCTTTGTATGCCATTTTTGGGACTAGGAGCATTGTCAACATTCATGAAGTTTCCATTTGCAGTGTCATTATCATTTTCATCCCATTCGTCTGCTCCATCACACCAAGTCACATTGGTACCAGTGGTGGGCATCATTACAGCAGTTGATACAGTTGAGCTTTTGTCTTGTATTTGGCTTCTTACACATGTCCAGCTAAAGCCACATATGTTAGTATCAAGTATCAAGAGGGAGGTCCAAAATCCAATCTGTATGTGTTGGTGAAACAATAAAATGTGGGTCCCCCGGCAGAATTTTGTAACTGAGTTTTTCAAAGAACTAAGTTCTTTATTTTAATTTGTAGGTAGGTATGCATACCGCCACCTTTTGCGACCCATTATGCTTATAGAGCACCTACGAGGCACTCGCCTCGGGCTTTCTATGACACTGTATGATGTAAACCATATAGAAATATATATAAGATTTTGATAGGTATTTTAGATCACTATGATAATAAGCATACTATTGCATGAGAAACAAACAACAATGCAAGTAAGTTGACACATCCGTAGAACAAAGACCTATGTGCAAGACTGCTTATTTTCAGGACATTGTACATTTCGTTCGTTGTTCTTAGCTGTGGACATTACCTTGATTTGCCGTTTGATGATTGACCGTTGATCGATTTTATATTTCCCAACGAAATAATACATAAAATTCTGAAAACACCTACAGCTAGGCCTTATTTTGAATAACGGGATTATGTATTTATCCCATTGACCTACCAATAAATGGGCGTCGGGTTCACGCTAAAAAATGTCCGCACCTGTAGGGCGTTAAAATCGTATATAGACCGTCAATCGCGCAAGTCTTCGTTTGTTCAACTGAGAGCACAGTTGTCAATCATGCAGTACCAATAATAATAACTTGTAAAAAGTACTGCAGTAAAGTGTAAAAACAGGATTTTGTATCATATTTTCACTAAACAAATATATTGTGTTATCATAGTCCTCATTTAAAAGTGTTATTTTGTACAGTTTTATAGTATTTAATTTATATATACACACATCAAAAGTGTCTAGGGATCAAGTACGTTTAAGAGTATTGCTGCAATTAGGGTTAATTATATTAACTTTTTTGTATCGCTATTGATACTTTTTAGTGAGTTTTAACATTTAAATAAGGAGTATTGTTTAAAATTCGATAATAAGAAGAAAATCGATTGTCAATGTGGTTTTGTATAAAAATAGTTATAGCGTTTTGACAAAATCATTACAATATCTGCATCGGAACCGAAACAATTTACATTATTATGGAGAGACGACATCATTTAACCCGAGAAGTGATGATGCGAGCCGTCGGAATGTTGGAAGCTGGTTCCAGGTAACGTGCTGTGGCTTTCACTCTTAACACTACACAGAGCGTCATAAGTCGCTTCTGGACGCGCTATCGCATGACGGGCAGCGTGGCCGAGCGACATGGAGGACGATCTCGCATCACGACTCGCAGACAGGACTGGTATATCCAAAATACTGCTCGACGGAATCGTACCATGACCGCCATGATGTTGGTTACGAGGCTCCACAGCTCCTCAGGCTTGCAGAAGCTAAATATGATGCATTTTGTTAAGTTTCCAGTAGAAGCTGACTATGGTGTTTTTGGGCCCTTAAATTGTTGCAAGCAAAATTAGCCAGTACTGCAATGAACTTACATTTTAAATTAAATATTTTAGTTTTTTATATTTCATTACATGTCACTACATTTGTATAGGTTAACTTCGGACACTTTTTTGTGGTTTTTGTGTTAGGCCCGATGTCCATTTGTTGATAGGTCAACGATTTATCATCTTTTCGTTGTATAATCACATCAAATTCTGTTCTTCAGATGTGTCGAAGTTATATGGTAAAAGTTATAGTAATTAGCCATTGTAAACGTAACATAATGTAAAAACATATTTTGTCATTTTGTGCACATAATCTCTTCCAAAGTTTGTTAATGTCTGTTGTATTTGTAGTAGCTGATTACTGTATCTTGGTCAATAATAAAAGCTGTTACCTTATTTAACTCATCATTTATGGAATACAAACATACAAATTCTTTTTATACAATTTTTACACTAACCTTTCTGACTGGGTCCAGCAGTTAGGGCTTATACAGGCGAAAACATACAAGGTGCGATGATAAATAGAGTTCTCAAGTGGTGCATAACATTGAGCCACTAACAGTCTGTGTAATCCACACAAAGGGCATTTTGAACTGAACTGAAGGTTTGCCAGTGGTGGCCAGTCCTACAAACAACCAGAAACAGTAAGAACACCAGTTCAAAACGTGTTTACCTATGATATAAATATTTAGTCATGTCAACTCACAGGAAATCCACCAATTTTGTTAACAGCGTAGTTAACCAGCGTCTGATTTTTGTCGCCTACTATTTCTTCTTCAAATCCTAAATAAACCTTTCCTTGCAGTTTTGCCATTTTAATTCATGAAAATCTTTTTTAAAATCTCGCACGATCGATGAAGTAGCAATGCATTTGACGTTTTGTTGACAGCTTTTTTTTATATTCCTGTGGGGTTTGGCTTCAAGCTAGGTGTTATTAGTCTTTGGCATTATTATTTAAATGCAGTGACTTTCAAGAAGCAACAGCGATGTATGTCATTTTATTCCTTTCTTCTAGACCTGTATTATAATAAATTCACCTCAAGTGAATAATCGATTATTAATACCACTTGAAAGAGCGCGCACCAACGATTGTGTAGATTAAGCATCATTCGAGATGTCATAATTTCAGTTTCCAATAAACTTCATTTAGGGTATATCCGTGATCGTTATTAATTCCTAATGAATCAAGTTTAGCATTTCGGTCCCTTGAGGTGATACCCTCCATGATACCGATGATCATCATTATGGAAAAGGTGAGAAGCATCTAACACTCAGTCAAGCAGTCTGTAGACGTAGCAGTGAGACTAGAAAACAAGTTTCATATACATATTAAATTATCCTGAATATAAAAAAAAATCAACTTTCATTTTTCATCCTAACTTGCGAAGGACCCCATGCCTACACGCACTGATTGAATTTTAGTTTCATGCACGGAGTACTTCTGACTCAAACGTCGTAGGTGGCACGCTAGGATATATACTTACCTAAGAGTAGGTGTAATCATGGAAAATAGTCTAGTATTAAGGGTAAATAAAACACGTATCCATTTAATTTACATTGAACAGCATGTAATACGTTAATAAATCAATATCAATCTTCTTTTACATAATATACTTGCGATTGCTAAAGATTTCGTTATTAAAATACACTTGCTCAACCACCACACTAAATTATTACCTAAGAATAATATTATAAATGTAATAATATATTGTGTACGAAATTATAATCTTTGTCTTTTTATAAATCTACTGGAATATATTTCAAATAACCAAAAAGATCGTAATAATTACATTAACACAATTCTAATAACCGTCCTTTACTTCCATTTAATATAATAAAATACTTAATATTTCATATGCAAATTTAATTAATGGTAATTTAATCATTTAATTACATACTTACTCACATAATGTACATACACATATATACATAAACATTTCAATGTCAACAGCATCAGAACAAAATATCAATTTGGACATTCATTGTAAAATGGTCATTACACTAAATATACACAAACATTTAAATAAAGTCGAATTACACACAATTCCCGTTTATTGTATACAGTTATTGACTTTATACAGTTCGTAATTTTGGTGGGAAGTTGTGGGCAAATGATACAGGTATAGATAACATTTTATTCACGAATGATTTAATCAGAATTATAAATTGCTTCTACTATTGCTATACAAACGTCAATTGAATGTCGTTTTTAAAATTTGTATAAAGTTATGGGAAAATCGAATATAGTCATTATTATGCTTTAAAGTTTCACTGATTTTTGTTTAATAACATGAAACTTCATAGTGACTGTACAAGACAACGATTTTAGTATATTTATCATATATGGGCAGTATATACACCACAATCATCATGTCAAAACCAAGCTTTTTCAAGTTTAAACTTAGTTTTGGAAATTGACGTTTTGGCGATATCGTTTTTTGAGGAAGATTTAGGACCGTGGGATTTTACGCAGTAGCGGAAAGACTGTGCCCTGCGAAGGATTGTTGGGGCCGAATGTGGTAGTTAGCGCATTATAGATGTGTTTATAATAACAAGAATAGCAGTTGCAATAAAATCATAGGAAATTCAAATTGTGGCAGATTCTACGAGAGATGGTGTAAAACTAACGAAGAATTGACTGTTGATACATTATGCAAACTAAATGACAAAATCGCTTTGGTTTTAACAGTTCTGCACTCCATACTGGTCTCGGCAGTCTTAACAGCTTTTCTAAATGGGAATAGAACTATGAACCTTTTCCTCCGATTGCCTCCTTCAACCTATTCTAACTCCCTTTCGTACTCTCTCTTCCCATATGGGCAGGTTTTGGTACCTAAAGTAATCTCTATCTAGTATTACGTAAGTCTCACTTCTGCATAGCAAGCGTCGCATACCCGAACGGGTTTCGTATTGCCGGCAAGAGCTACGGTTTTCTCGCTACACGCACCGCAGAATATGTGTCCGCAACGTCGACAATGGTGCTGGAATTAAATAATTATGGTTGGTACAAGGTAGGCAAACTGTCTTTTAATCTTGTAGTTTTTAAACTAAACTTAAGGGCAGTAAGATCGGGCAGCTAACACAATTTGACAACTATTAATTTTTGCTTCAATTTATTTGATGCAATAACAATTAATATCTAGGTTTCAGTGACATATTACTGATTGCGTACTAGGATAACAGTAGTAGTTGGATAACAGAACAGTAGAGAGTTTGAGAATTTTGATTGTAAAGACTCCTCTTTAGTCAGCTGCTCAATTTTTGTGAACGTATTAATAACGCATTTATGGCTGAATAAGCAATCAACAGCGGCTTTCATTGCCAAGGAAAGCGAAGGGTCGTGAAACTATTTTTTAGATATTATAAATAGTCTTATGTTCGCATTAACAAATACAGGACAGATAGTTATAGTACTTAATTAGTATAGTACTTAATATCCAGACTCCACAAAAGGGTTCAAACTGTATTACTGGATTGCACTGTTACGGCCATGGTGGGCAAGCACCAATCGTACTCCCGAGAACATCATATGTATCATGGCTTATTGGTATACAAAAAGGAAGTCTGTTCATTCCGAAACATAATTCTGATACAGGCCAAAAAATCGACTGCTTAACTGTTATGTAACAAAAAGTTTATGTGAAGACCTCGTGCTACGTGTCGGTCATAAGAAATTCAATAACAATAATTAATTTAAAAAAAGTTACGGTGACTTACTTTTTCCTTGCGATACAATAAAGGGAAAATATTATTTAATCCTCAAAAATATAATTGATCTATTGTAAATGTGCATTTTTTAAATAAACGATGTTTTTTAATGTTTGATATATACATGTGCCATCTATATTAGTTGATCTACGGATAAATTATACATGAACTGCATTCAAGGTAACACTATTATTATGTTTGCAGACTAACTTAATATTTGATATTAAAAAATAATATTTGATTTTTTTTATTATTGATCTTTTCTTTTAACGATTCATGACATTTATAACCAGTATGTCTTTTGATATTTATCTCCTAATACATATTGGTTGCGCCCTCCATTCAGTGGGTTAGCTTAGTAAATGAAAAAGCAGCATGAGCCGAGAGAGCAAAGCGAGTGTGTCGCGGCAGCGGCCGGCGAGTGCCAGAAGCCAATTTACGTGCGTTTTCGAACATGTTTTCAGGTCAAATTATATTATAATTAATATAATATTAGTATACAGATATAATCGACATTTACTTAGTTTAAAAATAAGTATCTAAATTTTATTTTTAATATCGAGTTCTTAGGTTTTCGCGATTGTTATACATAGGAATGAAACTATTTTTCCGGATTTAAATCGCGTACTGTCAACCGTGACCATGGGACCTGTAAAGGGCCCGAAACGTCGGTTTGTTTGAAAAAACAAATATACGCGATTTAAATCCGGAAAAATAGTTTCATTCCTATTTATTTTTAATGCTCAAATGTCTTAGTTATGAGACCCAACATAAAACCATCAAAGGTAATTTATACAAATCAAACATTTTTTGCGTAGCTCAGAACAGATTAAATAACAATTGATTTAATTCATTTTATGTCTCAGAGAAAGAGGATCATCATTAAAAAAGATTACCGTTTAGATGTTCTTGCCTGCTGCTTTTGCAAATTTAATATGATTAAATACATGCCTATAATAAATAATTATCATCTAAAGCGATGTGATTCGATATTTTCAATATCTTCTGTACATCAAAGAAAAGTATTAATGTTCGATTGTATTCAAACATGAATAAATTATAGTAGGCAAATTTACCTTTCGTCTCGCAATGGTGAATTCCTTAGCGCATGCAGTACAGGCAGTCGCGTCTTTATCACTAGCCCACGTTGGTGTTTCATCAACGCTGGCTGTTGCTTCTTTTTCCAGTAATTCTTGAAGCTGTAATTTGTTCTCACTTAACGTAGCTCCTACTTCTTCTAATGTTTTTTGAGCTTCGTTGTATTGAGTTTTGAGAAGATGTTGTTCTTCTTGTAACATTAAATATTTCTGCAAATGAATGTAGTCGATTGTTTAGCGAAATTATAAGGGAAGGTCTACGAGATTTTTGAAGGGTGATTCTACCCATCAATGCGTATACCATCGTTTCAATGTTTTTATACTAAGGGGACTCTACTGAATTCGCGGAAAAAATATCTTAAGAAAAACACTTGTGTCGAACAAGTAAGTATTATGGGTATGTAGGCCGTCCAAGATATCGCTGGAAAGATGAAGTCGCCAAAGACCTAAAGGAACTGAATGTGTTCGAATGTGTGTGTGAAATGGTGTACCTACTTTAGTGTCGGAGGCCAAGATCCACTTCGGGTCGCTGAACCAGCGAAGTAAGTAAGTAAGGTATTATGGTTTGCACTTATAATAGTATGGAATAATAGCGATTTCAAAGTAGAGCAAAAATTGTTTGTACTGATGGATAGAATCACCACGAAAAATCTCGCAAACCTCTAAAAGTTTGTGAATATACATGTAAATTGTATTTTGTGCTGTAAAACCATTTACTGTCATCTTATAAACTATATAATATTCCTAATAAATAGAAGAGAGTTCATAAATTATGAAGTCCTTACGTTTTTGCTGTTGTTATACATTGCAAATAAAACTATTTTTCCGGATCTAAACCACGTACTTAAGTTTTTTGAAACAAACCAACGTTATGGGCTCTTTACAGGTCCCACGCGGCATGCCTACGGTTGACACAGTCAGTCATGGTTTGTTAGAAAAAACCAATATACGCAATTTAGATCCGAAAAAAGAAATTTAATAAAAAGAGTCAATAAAATGTTTTTATGAGATTCTAATAACAACGTAACTAGGTATGTACATAATTAACTAAACGCAGAAATGCACATATGATGAGAAATGTAAAAAAATAAAAATAAAAACAAGGAGTTTCATCTTACCTGTCCAATAGATTTAAACGACTCTAATTCTTGTGTGAGCATGGATATTTTGTCTCTGTCCCGCACCATTGATTCCTGTAAAATATGGGACTGGAATAAGATTTTTCACATTTTTAATACCTTTCAACTTAGGTACCTATATAAGCAATTTATTCTCTTGAATATTCTAACCAAAATTTAAAGTTAACTATGGAAAAAAAACACACTTAGCAATAAGCCGCTCTGTCGGCAATAAGCTGCAAGAGCAATATTATCATAGCTGGTCTAGAGACTATCAAAAAGGACATTTTACATTTTTTGGGATTTTTTTGCTCATTTACGTAGGTAACCAACGGAAACATTTTAGTAGCTAAAATATTTCCGAACATAATCATACCCTTTAACGTGAACGGACATTTTTAAAAGAAACATTTTATTCGATCCAGAATTTAATTTCGGTGTAGTGTATATAGTATATGCAAATAATATATTTTCGTCAAAAATGTTGATGAAAGTTGTAACTGACGATTAGTTTGAGTATACCTAACGTGATCATTATTTTTTCCCTCAGAGCGGGACGCTTGTAGATTTCTTATTGTTTTTTGTTTGTTCTCTTGTTTTAAGAATAAAACAGATGTTTATTGTTGATGCATTTTAAACATACTTACTGTTAATATTGTACGCACTGCAGTATGGCAGTTGCGAAATGTTTATTGAAAATAATAAAAAAGAACTAAAAAGTTTAATAATCACAAATTAAAAAAAAAGAACTAACTTGTGTAGTCTAGTTCGCAGGCTTTGCATATTTTTCGCTTTCGCGCCAGTATAATAGTTACGAAATATTTAATGATCACAAATTAAAAAAAGAACTATCTTGTGTAGTCTGGCTGGCTTCACAAAGTTTTTCGCTTTCGCGCCATTTTCTTATATTTATTGTCACATAATCCTGTTTTGTCAAAGCGGAAAATTGTTTAGTATTTTGGGGACAGCGGATCATGAAGTTTAAAAGCGGGACGTATGATCACGTTAAGTATACCTTATAAGAAATGATTTTAACGTGTTTGACATCAAACGGACCTGTAGTGATATTCTCCACTCCCGCTCTATCCTCAAGTCTCCCTCGGCGGCGACGGCTCTGCTCTCAGCCGCAGCCACCTTCTGCCCCATTGATCGTGCACTTTCTTCTAGGTCCTTTCTTGCAGCTCTGTCTTCTTGTAACCTGTTGTATTGTGTATAGCGATTTTTAAAATACTAAGTGTGAACGTCCTTGAATTGTATGTAGTGGAGCTATTTCACCCACTTGTGTAGGCAACTTTTTGTCCAAATTTATTTGCAGGGACGTGTGTAGATCGAAAATACTTTTTTAATTATACTTACTTTTACCAAGTCTGTTAATCTTACTACTATTAAAACCGCACCTTTATTTGACGTGTGCTTATAGTACGAAAGAGATTGGTTGCGTGTGATTAAAATAGCCTTTACTTTTCACTTTATTAGTTTACGTTACATTCATAGTGAAAACTATGATTATGTAATTGTAGTATTTAGAAAGGGCTTGTTCAATGATACACCGTAGACGTGTTAATAATGAGTAGTATATTTGAGCACCACCACCAGCTACCCACATTGTTATAATAATGTAAAGGTACCTTCACATACAACAGTAATGTTTACGTACTTTACGATATACAGTTGCGTGTAATAATATGTATATATGTAGCGAAATTAAAATTCGACATTAAAATGGGTTCAATGTTAAATGAAAACATTCAATATGCAGACTAGGTGAACGAGTTATAATTTTATGTATGTATTATGTAAGTGATAAATATGTCCTGAGCAAATTCAATTTTAATGTCGGTATACTGTTGGGTAATTTTCCGAAAAATTTCAGATACTTAGTGGAAATATTTCCGGAAAAATCGGAAAAATATACTTCGATGGCTCATAATTTTGAAATATCTTTTGAAGTTTTATTTAGCGTGAATTATAAAATAAATTTATATATCTAAGTCATTTAGAGAAAAACGATACTTAAAATGATTTCACCTTTAAACCTTTTTATTGGCTCCATCGTTTTCGTTCAGTATCTTTAAATTTTGTACACAGTTAAATGTGGAAAAATATCTGAAAAATATTCAGAAATTATTTATTTTTCTAAAAAATATTTTTTTTCCAAAATGGACATTTCCACGACCCAACTCTATTTCGGTAGACTAGTGGTGATGTTAGAATTGAGTCATGGAAAAATAGTAATATTTCGAAAAAATAATATTTTTCAGATAAAATAATAATTTCTGAATATTTTTCAGATTTTTTCTACATTTGACAGTAACACTCGTCAAAATTTAGAAAATTACATTAGCAATGTATATACCATTTTATTTTATGATTGATGGAAAATAAAACATTAAAAGATATTTCTTAGAACCGTAATAAGTATGAATCTTCGAATTATATTTTTTAAATTTTTCCTAAAAAATTTCCACTACTTATTTGAAATTTTTCGGAAAATTACTCAACGCTAGGTGATGTTGTCGCTTATTAAATATTGGGGTTATTACAGTAAATGAATTTGCAAATTAAATATAAAGAAAATGCCATTGGCATAATCATGTTTTTTGAAAGTTTTAGAATACGTTTTGAAATGTTAACAACAAATGGGAAGCGAGATAAAGAGGGGTCGAATTTGATACCGCGGCAATGCAGACATCTGCATTGCTGTCATCTCAGACAGGTATAAAAAGACGACAGTGAATTCGCTTACACGGTTCCAAATTTCCCTTTCAAGGATAGTTGAGAACGACATATAAAAATGATATCGTAGATGAATATAAAAAAAAAATAGGATCTTAGTCACAGCATGCAAACACAATGTAAAGTTTGATAATGGCAAACCTACACAATCAACAAAAAGAAAAACAAGCAATTTATTATTATATACAATTGAATAAAATACGGTATGCGACTGAATATGCTTTATTATAAATAAGGCTTTACATATCTAGCGCCCTGGAGTTACAAAACTATGTAAAATATAAATGAAATACTATTTAGGTAACATTTTGCTAGATGCCAGCAAGCGGTATACAATAGCAAACACGAATTTGAGCTAATAATTCTAATTACATGGTTGAGATCAATAAATGTTTCGATTTAAATCGATACAAAGTAAATTCTTCAAATAATACATATAATTGTATCAGTTCCGCATTTGTTGATAGAATTCCAAATAAATTTACGAAGGGTCACATTTCTGCTACATTCTTAATTACAAGAAATTACTCAATGTAATTTCAGTTAAAATTAAAACCAATAGTAGTTTCTTATACTACATTAAAATATTAATTTGTAACCAACAGATTTAGTCTTAAACCAAGTAAACCTAAGAGAAAACTTAACATTCGATCCAACAGAATATAACCTGGTTACCATAGCAACGATAAAGCCAAAGCAACAGTAGCGATACCATTGTAACAATATTATCCTAAGATTAAATCAAGTAATACTTTGTACGAAAATATTTTTTAATTTATCAAAATACTGATCTCGAATTGCATCCACTAAATTCATTGTGAGGGTTTGCCAATATCGAGCGAATAGAAAGAGTAACCCCTATTTAAGTATATAATTTGACGCAAGCTGTGCCCTGCTCACACCTAGGTGCTTTCTGATTATAATTGATATGTGAAGCGTTTACACGTTATACTAAGCAGCGCTATTTGATTTGGACCAGGTACTCTTTCGATCCTTATGCAGCAGGTGATACCTGCTTACGCGATGACATAGTAAAATTGTGCAAAACCTACTTCTCATCGAGCTGATGTATTGTGCTTCCCATCGACTCAGTCTTTGCTTCCAATTTGGCTATTAGCTCTGTTTTATGTTTCAAGGAACTTTCACATTCCTAAAACAATGCCAATAATAAAATTTAGCTGAATTAAAATTTACAACTCACACCATAAGATAGGAAAGGATTTGAGTTAGTCAAGCGGAACCCATACATGGATGTTATAAAGCATAATAATAGTTAATGGTTAACATTGCGTGGGAGTTAATACACTAGTTGCGAATAGCGAACAAATTATATTAATTGAAACTAGTGTATTAGACTCGTATAAGTATTAATAAGTACATTATAATACAGATAATTAATGTTAGAAACATGATAAATAGAAATTTCACTAAAAGGAAACACCACCTGGACGATGAACCATTTACGTAACTTTGGAACAATTTTCTATATAGTAATAATAATAGTACAATTCTTTAAGTGATTAAGGTTCATTCTCCTACTTTTGCTACGGTTTTACTGTTACTATTACTCTTTCGAAACGGTGGTATTTCCTGGAGATTCAATTTTTTGTTTGGCGGGCCTTCGTCTTTAGACTTGGCACCTTTTTGGGCGCTGCTTTCTGGCTTGAGTTTGTCTAACTTTTCTCCTATATTCTCGTTAGTAGTGGGAGATCTGAGGGCTTTGACCAAGTCATGGTCGGGTCCAAGGAAGTGGTTGTATTTCTCAAGGTTGGTAAGTATTTTGCCAATTTGCTCGGCCTTGCCCTGGAGTCTTGAGACCATTTCGCCCTTCTGCGTGAGTTCCATCTCGCATTCCTTCCGTGCAAGCGCGCCAGTGATGAATACAGTGTTGTATTAGTATCGGTTTTCATAAATATTGGTTACAATCGATCTGAGTAGGGTTTTTATAGACTTATCAGAAATAAGGGGCCATTACATACTACACAATAGATACATTATATAAGTATTACAAAACACCAGAAACCAATTAAATTAAGCTACAAAAAGACCACAATAAAATTAAAATAAGGTACCCAAATATAAAGAGTCGTGCAGGAGCGTTAATGTATGAGAATAATGTGATGAGTGCGGTACATGAAGTGCATGGGCAGCAATCAGCATTAAGTAGTGATAAGCCCACGCGAATTGCTCAGTCTTTGCCAGAGATATATGTATACTTAGTTCCAGCTACTTGTTAGTGAACTAAAAAACTGGTGATACTATTGACGTAAGTACCATTAACCAAAAAAAAATTACCATTGAAATTAGAATTTTATGCCATTTAAATAGTGTTCATAGTTGTAATTCCGATATAGCAAAATTTAAGTTAGAATTTGTTTACGACAATGTGTTACGTGAATACGCTATTTTTAGAAAATAGCCTGTGTCTATTTTTAATATATATCATTATTGATAATACTACTACATTTATTGATTCATATGAAGTTGCGGCAACATTGTGCAATTAGCATGTATACTTGTAGTTAAGTAATAAATTTTCTACTGCATGCGCAAGAAAAGTTGCAATTTATATTACAAAAAAGTTTCAATTTATAAACGGTTCCCTTCGCATCATGTTCTAACTTGAAGTTACGTTGTACAAAAACTAATAGAAAAACCATGTTGTTTTAGAGGCCACGGTCAAGTGAAGGCGTAAAGACAAAGTCATTTTATTATATTGATATACAACAGACCTTGAAGTTACGAAAACGTTGGCGAAGCACATTAAGCGTTACATTGGGACTTTAGTTAATTGTTTTTAAATAAATTTACAGAGAAATAATTAATTAAATGTAATTATGATAAAAGCTAATAATTTAAAAATGACGACAATGAATAAGTCTTGGTATATTGATTTAAAATTCATTCAGCAAAGAAACTTCGTGAAGATTTAATTTTAAATAAAAGTAAAGAATTAAAAAGACATTTGCACACAGGCAATGTTAGTATGAGTATAAACTGTTTCTTTCGGTAAGCGCATTACGAGATTAAACAAAATTTTAACTGACGTAACTGCAAACAAGATCACAAACAAAAACAAGTTACGAAAATGAACACCTCATTGAAACAAATGAACGATGTAATTAATTTGACTCAAATAAACTGATGAAAGTGAATGTTTCTTTATGATGCGATGCTTTGAAACACTCACGTGTTATCTAAACATTCAAAGCAAACACAGTATCAAAGATATGAACGATGAATCTGTAGTTGGCTACCAGGTATACTTATAATTATTATAATACGTAATATAATTCTTAAAACTCATTTCTTTAACAATATCTTACCTGTAACTTTTTGTACATCTCAAGATTTATTAGTTTAATATCATCAAGCTGTCTTCTGAGTGATATAATTGTATCTTGTTTGTCGTGTATGTCTTTCTCTAACAATTTCATTGCCACCTCCATTTCCGCCTTCAGTGACATCTGAAAATTATTGTTAGGGTTTCTTTGCAAGCACAATAAAAACAACTCTTTAAATTAATGACATCACTGTTTATTGAAAGGTTCAAAAGAAGAATTTGGGTCATATATTTGGTCGAACAAAGATAAACGCTTATCGAATATCAGGGCGAAGTGGAATTAAGATTACATGTTCTTTAAAAAAAGTTATCGTTCCTTTAGGTCACTATGATTTTACCTGTAAATCCAATTCTTTCTGTAGTTCAGCATTTTTCTTTTTCTCTTCCTCCAATACTCTACCAAGCTCGCTTTCCTTTTCATTTTTAGATTTATCCGAAGCTGTGCTTACGACGCTACGTTTCTCCTGAGAAAAACATGGCATATGTAATGTTACTTTACGAGTCGTACGGTCTCTTTTTGTTTTCTTTTTAGAAATTGTACTAGTACGCCAAAAGGTATACATCGTATAATAATTTGAAAATATTTGTGACACGCGTTATTCAAACAATAGTCATAACGACATCCCGAACATAAAACCCTTATAAAAGTCGTATATAGAACGCATTATTATTATTGTTTTCATCCTGTTGTTTAGATCTCAAGAAAAAAACAGTTTGTATGTGTAAGAGACAATACGCATTGAAAAATAAAATGAATGCTCTCACCTCTTCATCCGCTTGCAGTTCTGTCACTTTCATCCTACTGTCCTTCGTTATATCCTGGCCTGAACAAAACAAAAACGCACGTGTTTAAACATAAATAAACGGTGACAAAGCTAAATAAATCACACCGTGAGGTATATTTTGCACTGGTTGCGACGAGGTAAGTTGTTCAAACTCACAGGTTTTTGTCCAAAACGGTTGTTTTGACTGTGTTTTAGTTGTAGAGTTGCCCATTATTACGGCTTGATGGACCATAACGGTCTGCGGTCGTGGTTAAGCTGAATGGGACGGACGGAAGACGCGCGACTGCGCCGGAATACAAATGCATACTAAGCGTTTGAAGTGACTCATCTCAACGCAAGGTGTCTAATCTAACGAGCTCTCTACTGTTGTGATTCGCGACGCGGTTCTGATAGTGAAATTATGCGATTACGTTTTTACGACATTCGAAATTAATTCCGGTAATTGGTGCGTTATTGGTGATCTCAGTACACTTTTAATTTCTAAACTTATTGTTACAAATTAAGCGAGACTGACTTACGCGTGGGTATTTTTTAACCAAACCAAAATATGAAAATACTTTTGTTTTCATAACTTTAAAAAATAAATTCCAAAGTTACATCGATTTGTATGAGGAGTATTTCTTTATTATTAATTTGTTTGTTTTAATGTCAGAAATGTTGTTTTGAGTTGTTCTTCGAGAATTAAGAGTAACCCTGTATATTAACTTCAAATGTTTAAAAGTCCTTGGATAGAAGCAGCACTGAGACGCTTCCATTTTTGTCCTGTGCTGTTAATGTTTAATCAGTAACTTAAGTGTAGTTGTTTTTTAAGTTTTTATAGTTATTGTTTTGTTAATAGTTGGAGGCAATAAAGAGATATTGTTTTATTTATTATTTAAAATACATACTCGCATTTGTAATTTTAGACACCTGAAACATAAATTACGAAACGCGGACATTGTGAATGAATAAGACAAGGAAAATCAAAAGAACGTACGTGCTAATTAAATCAAATAATAATATAAAATGTGTGTGCATTATTACCTAAGGCATGTTTCAGTTGATTATTTTCCTCGACGAATTGTAACATGCTGTTTTTGGCGATCGCCAAATCTTCCTTCATGAGTGCATTTGTCGTGGTCAAGCTTTCCACTTTGGCTTGCAGATTTGCTACCGTTGCACTGTGTGGAACAGAGAAGAATTTCTTATAAAATATTTTTGAAAATTGCCCTTGTTTTTTATGGTAATAAAACGTGCAAGTAGACAGTCCAAAGTTGTAATTGCCACCCTATGGACCTGAATGTGTAAAGTACATTTACGTCCAACTGTGTAAGTGTAATCATCAGTGTGATCTCAGGCACAGGAGATACTTTCTACCTTTTAACCCATTACGTAGTGCTTTATGAATTTTTACCATAAAACACTACAGAACTGCCGGTGTCCCCCGATCTATTTTTAAGATACATAGATCGGTGGATAACGGCAGGTCCTGTCAAATATAGCGTTGGGTCACGGAAAAATTTGCATTTTGAAAAAATCGTATTTTTATTGCGTTTTCATATTTTTCAAATTTAAAGTTACTGAACGAAAACGATAATGTTTCGCTGTTTTGAATTATTTTTAAATTACATTTTTCATTAGGTATCTTTTAGCTTTACAAGTTTGTTTTATAATCCACGCTAAATAAAACTTCAAAACATATTTCTAAACGTAGAACATAATATGAGCCTTCAAAATTCTATTTTTCCATTTTGTTCGAAATTTTTCTGAGAAATTGTCACATTTGAAGGTTTTCGGAAAATTGCCCAACAGTAGTCAAGTAAAACAATTTACCACTACGTAAATATTTATTTCTACTTTCTGCAAGTCCATTGACACTTAAATCTTGCAACATAAGTTTTGGTTAAGTCTCATTTTATGACAAAATGTTAAAATCAATATACAAATAATTAATATGAAAGTGTATATAAAACGAAACCGATGATTATGTATAAACCTTACACACATTATGTAATAGCACGTATGAATCATAGTAGAATTTATCATTAGGACAAACATTTAGAAGATAATCACGTCAGTTTTTGTTTTATCAACAAAATGTAGATATTCCGCAAGCTTTGTGTCGTGGTCTGTAGTCAAATGATAAAGTAAGGAAAAAAATCGTTAAAACATAAAATTGCGCTGCAATCATATATCTATGGCAGCAATGTAGATGTGTTTTTGCAATTTCAATGTTACGAACTATTTACATGAATGATGACATAAGTATCATTCATGTCGAGAGATAGGTAGTGGGTTAATATGAATAGAAAACTACTTCTTTTTTTGTTTAAGAATATATTATCTTAAAATACACCCAAGATATTTTGAATTCATTTAAGATTATTTAAATTTGATGTAAGAGGTAAAAATTTCTTGATGTAAGTAATGTCCAATTAATTGATTAGAAATGAAATAAAATCTTGAAGTGAACGTATTTGTCTCAAAGTTAGAATAAAGTTAAGAGTAAAATTGTATTAGAAAAAGATAAGCAGTATTTTTGTAATGATAATATTTTATTACTTTTAATAAATATTTTTTCAGAATTAGCAAATATTTTGAGATTATTGCTCTTTCTTATTAGTAGAAATCCTTTTTTTCCGTGCAGACAGACAAATGAATTTTTGAAGGTGAACAACGTTGACCTTATGAGCCATCCCGAGTACTGTCCCGACCAGGCACCTTGTGACCTTTATTTATTTCCAAAAATTAAGAACCAGTTACGCGGTCAACAAGATTCATCACCTGAAGAGGCTGTCGAAGAGTATGAAAAATATATTTCAGAGATTGTCACGTAGGAGTGGCATAAATGTTTTCAAAATTGGTTAAATCGTATGAAAAAGTGCATTAACGATAACAAAATATTTTGAAACAATAAATTAATTTCTGACCATTTATATGATTTTTTTCTTATTCATTCCGGAAACTTATAGTGCGCCGTGCGTACCTCCAATCGTGTAACAAAATAGCACATGCTTTAGACAATATCCTTGGGTGTATTTGATTTAGCAAAACAATTTTTATCGCTTCTCCTTCTATGATTCGCCTTAAAAACCGGAATGATTCTAGATCTAGGATTGCAGAAATTTGTAGTGTATGTTTATATAAGCGAGGGATAAATACTTCTTTGAATGGTTTTGTTTGTTCTAAAGATATTATTTGATAAGACACACAGTAATTCTGAGAGCGACGTTCGTGTTGTGTATAAAACTTTCTTAAAATTCTGCGATATACCATTTAAATAAATGTCACAAAAATCATAAAACAAACGGTCACTTACTTGAGATGTCTATTTAGCTCTTCGATATAGTTCTTTTGATCAAGCATAGTGTTGATGTGGCGCTGCTTTGGTTCGTTGATGGTATTGTTATCATTATTGGTCAATTCGTGAGACGAATTGCTTCCGCGGAGATAGAGCGAGAAGTCTATTACGCCTTGTTGGCTGTCCAGATCTTCTTCCTACACAAATGTATTAGATATTTTATAAAGTTATATAATTGGCATTGGCACTTTTAAACCTAGACGCTTCTTTGTCTAGGTTTAAAAGTGCCAAACAGATGGAGTACACGGAAGGAGCCTCCCCGCTGGCAAATCCTTGCACCACTATGGCAAGCGTTACAATGTATGCCATCGATATTAAAGAAGTGCCAGACTACTGTATTATAAGTACCAGACGTGACAATACGATGTATTATAAGTACCAGAGCAACGACATTAGCTCTGAGGCAGAATGCAAAACACCCATATCAGAACCAATTTAAACATATTCGTTATTCATATTGTTCCTGCCGGGAATCGAACCCTCCTCATCTAGCGCACATTTTGCTAACCGTGAGGCTAACGAGGTCGCTATCACATTGTTTTCGTATTTTTAATTAGTTAAAATACCAATACATAAATTGTTGTAATAAACCTTGAAAGATTAGTGAAGAAGTTTATGTTACCTTAACACACAAATTGCAATCCACAACATTCAATCCGACTAAAAGACCGGTGATAATAACTGCCTCCTCGTTTAGCATAAGAGCGTGAGGCTCGAAATACTCCTCTAGAGTTTCCTCACGATGTTCTAGGAGGATTCTCAAATAATCCGCGAGTCTTTTTTGCATTAGTGCTATTCTCAGCCACGCGCGAGCGCGGCCCATGGCAGTTCTAAAATAAGGAGATTGACAAAAGATATATTTAACGCTCTATAAAAGAAACAAAAACTTTCAGTACTTCTTACTTAATGCAGTCATAGGCGGGGTATAACATTCGGTATCCATCTATATATTGAATAGCGTATATTTTTAATTACGTATATTGAATAAAAACAATAACAAAGTGACATTTATTCTCGAAACAAACTTTCTCGGTCATTTGTTCACTGAAAACATTCGAATATTTTAATATAAAAAATATTGACAATAAATTAATATTATGCACATATTTTACGTATATATAGAGGTATGTATTGCATACACTGAGATTGACTTACTTATTGAGATTGAATTATACTTGCATTTTTGAGTTACGAGAGTTATAAAATCAATCGAATTACGCACAGTAATTGGTACCTACGACACAGAGGGAATACATAGATTGACTGTAGAAAGCAATACACATTCACACGGTGTCATTTACAATGTTATGCCTGCGAAACATCAATGTAATTGAGTGTTGGTAATGGTAAACTTACTTGACTGTTGGTAAATCTCTAACACTCGCCGTAATGTCAGCTGCTTCTGGTGAATATTTTTCAACCATTTGAAGAATATCCCACAATTCTTTCTTAGGGCCGAGAAGTCCCTAAAGCACAAGAAACCATTTAACATGCTACAACTGTATTTTGTTCCAATCTTAAGTAATACTTAAATGTTTACTTCGACAAATGTTGTTATTATCAATATGTTCACGCGACTTTACCTTCTTTGGCTTGAGTCCATGACGCATAACGTGTTCCAGAACAATAAAGAAGTGATGTAATGGCAAGTGGTCGCTATCTAGCATCCTTCCATAGCGGAGCGATTGTTCAATTAACTCCTTCACGATCAACTTTGAGATGTTTACAAGATTACTGCGCTCTATCACTACTGGGTCGCGAGCTACAATCAAAATATAATGCGCCATAGAATTCTTAAAATCGATAGTATCTTCACTATATATAAATTAGGGAAGGCAGTATTTATTACCCATCAAAGAGTGCATGGGATCGTCAGGTGATGTTATGGCTCCGTTGTTCTCAGAAGGGCGTATGTATGAATCCTGCATTTCCATATCATGCAGTTCCTTCAAACATAACCACTCTCCGTCGACGGAGACGCGGAAGTTGCATAGGTAAATGGTGTCCTGTGCGCCGGCCATGTCGGCATCGGCGCCGTCGGCCTGTTGTATACCCGACGGTAGACCTAGTTCACAGGGATCCACCCCGTGCACAGTAGCGAGTGAACGCATAATAAAGCAGCAAATAAACTGGCAAGCGAAATAACAAACACGCTTCCGTGAATCTTGATCACTCTCTATTGCATTTCCCAATACGTCGCTATTAAGGTCACACTAAATAGCGGGGTTTGTTAACGCACAGTTCACTATTCAATGCAATTACTTCATTGTGACAACTGAATTAACCGTATAACTATTGTAAACTTCTGTTATGATGTTTATGTAAGGGGAAAACCTGTGATGCAGCTTTCATATGAAATTCACAACAAATATTGATTTCTCCCGACGAGTGGCGGAGTCTCATGGGGTAAAAATCAATACTGGTTGTAAGTGCTGCCATCTATGAGCGCGGGGAATAATTGCTTTGATAGCGAGAACTTAGAGAGTGTCTTTAGTTCGCAAAAAACTCATTGTGAACTCTTCATGTAGTTTTTTGAAAATATGTACAAAATTTCAGCAAAATGATTAATATATATAATACCGTCAGTAGTAAGAGCAAGTATGTTAATAATTTTATTTTAGTGGGAAAAGTTTTTGATGTGAATGTAGCTGACAATTATAAGATTATATGCTCTAGATAGAGATGTGTGATGATGAGTATCTAAAGAAAATCTAAATACCAAGAACAATAAAATTTATGTCAAACTACAATTTAATGATAATATAAATATTGTCATATTTGAACTTGTATTATGTTCAGAAACAAATTATTAATGCATATTTATGTAATTTCTTGGTAAAGGGATCACTCAACCCTATGGTATGTCCTTACTTGTAAGCTCCATAGCTTCTATTTGTGCCCTTTCGAAGAAGAACGGAGGCATTAGAACGATAGCTATAGGCTGCACAATACGTGTCGTCTAACTGCCAAATTGTGCTGTTGAATGGTTAGGGATACAATGACAGGTTATCTTCAACAAACATAGGTAGGCTTCGTGATTGCTCAAGGTTGTGAGACAGCCATATATGCCACTCGGGCTTTCGCTCTTGCGAATGAGGATGGGCACGCCGTTATAGTAAAGATAGACATCAAGAATGCGTGTAATAGCGTCGAGTGCCATTACTCTATCCGTTTCTTCATCAGTGTTACTCCACAGCTAGCAATTTATTCTTTGGCATTGAATCTATAAGCTCACAAGTTGGAGCTCAACAGGGGATCCTTTGGGGCCTTTAATATTTTGTCTAGCCACACAGAAGATCATTTCTTCTTTGGATTCACCCCTAAACGTGTGGTACTTAGATGATGGAACGATTGGTGGGGACTCGCAAGTTGTGCTGAATGATTTAAAAAAGCTTGTGCCGTGTTTGTGGGCTATATATAGGCTTGAAGATAAACCCAAACAAATGCGAGGTCTTTGGTTGTGGTATTGGAGACGTATGCTTTTTGTCGGACTTTGAGCTTTTGATGCCAGGTATACAACGAGTTCATAAGTCATCCTTATCCTTACTGGGTGCTCCCATCTTCGCGGTAGGGGTTGGAGCAGTTGTTGAGGATAAAAGGTTGCCATTGGTTAGGGCTTAGCAACATTTAGGCAAATTATCAGCGCACGTCTCACTTGTCTTCTTGCGGAAGTGTTTTGCAATGCCACGCATGATGTATATTTTGAGAACATCTCCCAGTTGGTGGTTCGAGGACGATGTGGCAAGGCTGGACGACACACTGAAGTCATAACTTGAGTCCATATTAAATGTACGCCTAAATGAATCGCAGTGGTGCTCTCCCAATTCGTCAAGGCGGACTGGGAGAACGTCGGTGTCAAGAGATCGGTGTGGTAGCGTTCTTGGCGGTTTTTGGGACTAGTCACTGGTATATTATCCGCTAATGGTGACGATACCCGGATACCTATTGTTGCTGAGGCCCTTACCAGGTGGGCCATTATTTGTCCGGGTGAAGAGCGGCCGGATAATGACGTGGTTTTTGTGTGAAAAGGTCAGTTCATTATTATTGGACGAGGCCTTGGATGTTTAAATGGCGCGCGTCTAAGGGCCGCAACTAAGCCTGAATCAGGAGCGTGGTTGCAGGCATTGCCTTCTCCCCATTTAGGCACTCTGCTAGATAATGATTCGTTGATTCGTTGAGAATTGCCGTTGCTTTACAGTTGGGATGTAAGGTTTGTGAACCGCATCACTGCATTTGTGGGGTCGTGGTTGAGGAAAACGGCCACCACGGCCTTAGTTGTCAGAAATGCGCGGGGCGGTTTTCAAGACATCATGTTATAAATTATTGATTGAATGATTAGAAGGATGATGAAATGATGGCAGAAGGGCCAGTGCCTTTTGTGGGATGCTACGTGTGTCAGTACGATTGCACCGTCCTACTTGAGTCACACCACCATATCTGCCAGGTCAGCTGCAGAGTACGCAGCAAAATTGAAACATGCCAAGTACAGTGCCTTGGAACCGAAGTACGATTTTGTGCCAATTGCAGTGGATACTGCGGGGATTTCGGATCCAAAGAATTTCATCAGGGACTTGGGCCGTCGACTTAGAGAATGAGGCTATGGATGCATAGCCTCATCGCTCAATGCTCTGGATCTTACTTGGTGCAATAAATTTTGTTGGCTATTCAGCGCAGTAATGCTGACAGTGTTATGGGGATGTTTGAACCAGCTAAAATTCAGAGCGGTCCTTTTTCATTGTACTAGTTGGATAAAAATGGCCAAGTAAGGTAAAAAATAAAAAGTAAAAAAAAAATAATATTTGTGTCTTCTTGACGAAGCCTATGTTGTGGATTGACATAATTTGTAATTAAATTAGTTTTTAAATGAATTGAATTTTAACATTTAATAGTATAAAAATTGTAGAAAATAAATTTGATCTTTGCACTTACTAAGGTTATCATCACATGACAAGACTATAATTTGCTACAGATAAAATTGAGTCAGTAATCTACGTTTAGTATATTTATAAAAAGAAGGGAGCTAACTTTAGGATGAAATTGTTATATATTTATGTTTATACATGTAATATGATTAGGGGAGAGAGATTTTTGTCCATCATGTCATCTTGTGATCAGTTGGATGACTGGGGTATGGGGTGTACGCTAATGGATTACATGATTTATGGCATGTAGAGTCATCTCTCCAACAGGATACTCTCCAATTGTACTGGTATTAAGGTGATGATGCAGTTGCTTTTTGTATCTAATATTGTATTGTAAGGTGGAATTTCTTTCTTTACCGAGTGAGTGTCAAATAAACCAGGGTGCATTAGATGTTTACTTGAGAATAGAATCTTCAGCTCTGGGGAGAGGAAGAGGGATAAAGATGTATTTTACAGGTGAAACATAAATAAGAGATTTCTATGGAGGCAAGATTTAGGCAGTAACTTTAGTTTCGACCCTAAACCAGGAAAAGCAATCACAGATTTTGAAGTTGAACACAAATCCAATGAAGTGATTGTACAGTTGCTCACTTCAATAACATTAAAATAGGTGACTTAATTATAGACAAAAAGAGTAAGCGGAAGTGTGTGTGGGAGCTCACATGCACTCAAATTTATGCAAATTTTATGGTTAGGAGAACTAAGTATAAGAGCTATTTTAGGGAAAGAAATGATACAAAGGTTTTACAACTCACATCATAGACATGTTTTACTGTTAGTTACCACCAACATTTATCGAAAAAAGTATAGGGTAGCCTCTATTCTGCGGAACACCAGTCATAAGACTATACCAGTCCGAGTGCATTTCATGTTGAAAACAAACAAAGAAATATGAACAGAACTATCATCTATAAGTGGCATTTTATAATTTTGAGAATGAATAAATAAGTAATGCGAGAAAATGTAACTTTATATTTTCCATACTGGCTGACATAAAAATAAATGAACTGTTACTAAATGAACCATGTATGAATACTGCATGGTCCAACATTATGAAAAATGTTAAGCATTTAATTATGTAGCAAAAGTAATTTGGTGTATGGAGCGTGTATAATAATTTGGTGTATGGAATTTATTATATTTAATATTTATGACTTCTTTTTATTCTTTAATAGTTATTTACATCATAATTGGCATTCCTTGACAGACTTTAAATTTTGAATGATAATTCTATATAGCACATTGTAGTGTTATAATTTTGGAGAAGAAAAACAAAATTGGTCACGGGCATGAATTTTATGCACAATAAATGTATACATTATGTTCTTATATCAGGAAAAATCATTTGATAACAGTGACAAGTATCTACAATGATTGTGTCTTCCAACGAGATAGGTTAAATTGTTTAACTACTGGTTACGCCGATTATGATATTTTTAAGTAAAATATACTCACTGTTGGCACTATAATAATAGGATTTATCCGGGCGGGACAACAAAAGTTCCGGCCATTTATCGTCCCTTGTTGAAGATAAAGACGGAGACCTATCTAGCAAATGAGACCTCAAGGAGGCCGTGGACGTTGCTGGAGATACGTTAGCATCTTTTTCTTTAAAATTTGCCATAACTTATCTGTTAATTATTGCTTCGTAAAACATTTCGGTGGAAATACAAAAAGTAAACGCGTCAATGTTGTGTCAAAATTCTTAAAATGACGGTAGCAAGAGCGTTTACAAAATGTGTTCTTTTTTTTATTTAGTTGCATTGAAGTGTTTACGAATGATGTTACAATTCTTTGTTGAATTTGTTTTTTACAAAAATACCATAGACTTAGTATGGGTGCTTATATATACCTTAAAGGATGGAAAAAAAATAAAAAAAGGAGGTACCCTAACTACGGAATGAACGTGCATACCTACTAAATACATGGCTACTGTTGCTTTGGAGAATCGTTGTACCGTGAGTAGTGATTGGTATAATTCACGACCATTTGTGTGCCGGAAGTTATGTGCAAACTACGTAAAAATAACCGTAAACGCGGTAACATATTGCACCATGATAATGCCAGTTCTCACATGGCCAGACAGATAAATAAATTTTTGAAGGCGAACAACGTTGACCTTATGAGCCATCCCGCGTACAGTCCCGACCTGGTACCTCGTGACTTTTATTTATTTCCAAAAATTAAGAACCAGTTACGCGGTCAACGATTTTCATCACCTGAGGAGGCTGTCGAAGAGTATGAAAAATATGTTTCAGAGATTGTCACGGAGGAGTAGCATAAATGTTTTCAAAATTGTACCATGTGTACTTAATTCGTATGAAAAAGTGCATTAACGCTTCTCAATATTTTGAGAAACAATAAATTCATTTCTGACCATTTATAGTATTTTTTTCTTATTCATTCCGGAAATTTATAGTGCTCCCCACGTATGAGAAAATAATCCTGGCTCTTCGAGTCTTTATGGTGAACCCACTATTGCCCGAAGCTCAAATGTTTGCTATGAAAATTTTTACCGGGGTTGT